TAGCGTACCTCCCTGCCCCCAGGGTGCTTGCTAGCCCCAAGGCATAGGAGGGAGGTGCTTGGTTTGTCGGGGGGCTGGGGTGGGCCTCCTTGTAGGGAGCATCAGTAGTGCAGAGCACTGGTCAGCTGGGGAAGGCCCCTCCAGGTCTGCTCGCCCCGGGGTGGTCGGGAGAATGGGGGGCAGGGCAGGGTGCTCCTCTCCAGCCACGTGTCAGGTCTTACAAGGGGTTCCTGAAGGCAAGGTCTTGGCAGCGGGGCAGCGCAGGGTCTACGACCAGGGACGGTGAGAGCATCGGTGATGTGCTGCAGGGAGGAGGAGGAGCAGAAGCACTTAGAGGTGGGTGAAACACACCCTGGCCATGCCTGTGGGCAGTGGGGGGCCCACCCTGCCCCCTGCCCTGAACCGCCACCACTCCTACCTGGGGAAGGAAGACCTGAGGTTGTCAGAGACCATCATGTTGATGTCGCTCTCACCTGCAGGGTAGCCTGTGGGGACGGGCTGGGGGCAGAAGGGAGCAGGGGGGCTACAAGCACAGACACGGAGGGGTTAGCATCTGAGGGTGTTCTCCACCACAGTCCCCTCCCACCCCAGCACATGCCCGACAGAGCAGGTCTGCCTCTGCCCAGGGTATGGCCAGGCACAGAGCCGGGCACTCACCAGATAGGGCTGAGCACTGACTGCAGGCTCTCTGGGTGCAGCTCAGGCTGCAGCACGGGCAGGCTGAACATCTGAGCCTGGGGGGCCTCGGAGGGGCCCCCTGCAGCGCTCTGGGGCTGCTGGTCCCTGCAAAAGTACATCATCCCCATCAGCACAGGCAGGACTCGCACACTGCAAGGTCCAGCTTCCGAAGAGGTGCATGTGCAAGTCAGTGCTTGCTCACGGAGAAGGGGGTGCGCTCACAGACATGCTCCACTGCAGCTCGGGATACCCAATGGGGGATTCCTCACTCACAAGCACATACCCATTTTGCCCGTTCAGAAATCCCCCTGCCCAGCAGCGATGTGCGGGCCAGCCCAGCGAGGTCTGTGCAAGACCTGGCCTGGTGCAGCTCGGCCCCGCAGAGGGCAGCGCCTGTGCACACACCTCTGGCACAGCCATGGCCTTGCACGCACACCCACCTTTCACTTTCCACTGTCATCTTGATGGCGGTGGAGACATAGCCCCGGCCGTCCTTGCCCGTCTGCTCTTCTGCTCGGAGAGGAGAAGCATCCATGAACCACCACCCCAGCACAGGGCCATGCTGTGCCAACCCTCTTTGCCAGCACTGGCCGCCCCTGCAAGCTTTGGGGCCAGCAGGACATGGGTGAAACCCAAACCCCTCTTCCCTCCAAACCCCTCCCCTGCTTCTCCCCACGGCATTGCTGGGGAGGCAGATGTGAAGCCCAGAGCCCATGTCTGCTCCCACCCACTCACTGTTGTAGTGACTCCCGAACGCCTGGTCCTTGGGGGTGTTGGGGTAGAGGTTGCGGAGCTGCCCTAGGTCGCGGATGCGGTCGCCGAGGGACCGGATGGACAGGTCCTTGGCAGAGAAGGGCTGGATGTTCTCCACCTGGCTGGACCCTGTCGGGAGACACGGCACAGGGCTCCATTGCCTGGTCCCCATTACGCCTGATGTCCCCAGGCCACAATGACACCTCCCCTTCACAGCACTGAGAGCAGACGCTGTCCCCCCATCTCACCATCCTTGCCCCGAATGACGTGAGCAATAGTGACACCCCCAATCTCTGAGTCACTGAAGCGGAGCAGGAAGGTCCCGTCAGGCTCCGTGCTCAGGAGCTTGCAGACATACTGCTTGCTGATGAAGCCAATGATGAGCCTAGAGTGATGGACAGACGGAGAGTGGGCCAGCGCCAGGGTGGAGGGGTGGGACCAGGACTCCCCAGGTCTGGCCCTGGAGCAGCTGTGAAAACCTGCTTGGCCCCTAGGCACTTACCTGTCTGACCAGTAGCTTTTGAGGCATCTCTTGGTGAGGTCGAGGACTCCATCAAACCACTGCCAGAAGGTGAATCCCCGACCAGGCAGGATCTCCTGGGGCAGAGAGAGGGTGTGAGGCTCCCCAGGGCCATGCAGGCCCCTGCCCACCCTGGCCAGCCCTCCCAGTAACCTTGTTGAACTGGGCCCAGGAGACGCTGCGGCTCTGGAAGTCCTCGAGGCTAGCGCTGTGGTCGTTAAAGATCTTCTGGGCCAGGAAGAAGTAGTGCTCCTTGAGAAGCCCCTTGGTGGTCTGCACCTCCGCCATGAACTTCAGGTTCAGCGTATCGCACATCTTTTCCCAGGGCACCCGCTCGGCCACCACGAAGGGCACCCGGTCCTGTGGCAGGGCCAGACAGCATCAGGACAGCAGCTCACCCGCT